GCCCAGGCCAGGCTCCAGGAGGGGCAGCCCCGGCAGAGGGAAGGGCCAATGGCCGCTCCCTCCTTCCAGATGTGACCGAATCTCCCTCCAGAATGGGTCCCCATCAGCATCTCCCCCTCCTTTTGGGAAGAATGAGGGAGGCCCTGACGACTACGCCGGGGACCGCGAGGCCGCCACAGCCCCTGCAGGAGGAGACGCTTGGCTTTGTGACGCGCTGGTCACAGATGCAAGGGTCCAGTGAGAAACGGCAGCTGTCGGCAGGTCACGCAGCCCAGCAAACAGCCCCTTTCCTCGCGGAAAGGTCAGGACACCGAGCGGTCCCGTGGGGAGCTCGCGGGAGCCTCGCGGCAGCTGATCACTTCGGTTTTCACCCTGCGCTCATTTCCCGGGACACTGGTCATCTTTGCCCAGGCTGCCCCCACTATGTCCTTCCACGTGTGTGAGGTAAAACAGCGTTGGGGCTCTGGCTGCACCCCCTGAACGACTCAGATGCTTGCGGCCCAGCCGCGGCAGACACGTGTGAGGCCAAGACCCTCGGGGCAGAGACCCACGAGGCCGAGACCCGCTTTCCACTTTGGCATAAACCAGCAGTTAGTCATCTTATTCTTAACTTAATTTTTTTGGCATAAAGAATTATAGATAGGATGTGCTTCGCATATGTGATTGCAAATTAGGTTAGTGATCCAGTGTCTGTCTTAGGGAAGCCTAATTTTAAGACTGAGCATGGGAAAACCATTCTTCCAAAGTAAGACATACAGTTCCTGAAGCACCCGAGACACGAGCTCCAAGCTGTGGACCCCAGAGCTGCAGACAGGGGCTCAGACAGAAGCCTGTCCGCACGTGTTCCCAGAGCCAGAGGTGGAGGCAGCCGCAGACCACGCTCTGTCCACAGGCCAAAGTCAGGTTTGGCCACGAGAAGGGGTGAAGTCCTGATAAATGCTGTGATGTGCATGAATCAAGAGTGGAGGAAGCCACACACAGAGGACACCTGCCATACGGGTCCACCGATGGAAGTGCCCAGAATGCACAGGTCCACACACACGGAATCCACAGAGGTGGCCAGGCACTGGGGGTGGGGTGAAGGCTCGGTGGGTGCAGGCTTTCCTTTGGGACGATGAGAATCTTTAAGAGCCAGACAGAGGTGGCCTCACACAGTACTCAACGTACCCTGCGCCAATGACCTGTCCACACTAAATGGTTGATTTCATCTTATGTGAATTTAGTTTTTTCAAAACTGTGTTCCCACATGGGCCCTTCATCTTGCTCCATCCAATGCCTCCTCTCAAACACGGCAGCTTCGGCGCAGCCTCTGTGTTCTGATGTGGGACGCGGTTCTAGGGAAGTATTCAGTTACAGCTGTGCAGAGACACCCTCCTTGAGACACCGTTGGTTGGCGCAATGCATAGGGATGTCGCAGGATTTGCAGAAGCGCAGAGTTACTATGGGGTCCCTCCCTGAAGCAAGAGTGGGGGCATGGAGAGTTGTCCCAGCGGGGGATCCCGACTGCTCAGATCAGGGGACACCCTTGAAATGGAGAGGCTAATGTGCTTGGATTTCTTTTTATTGTAAAATATGTTTATTGATGATAAGACTCATAATTTATTCCCGATACTTGATGTTACAAACTTTAGGGTCTTTGAGATATGCAGGATCTTTGTATGTAACTGGCATAAACCCCATTATTTGAACTCTCTTAATTGCGTTTGTGATTTGTTTCTTCTCACAAAGACCTGTTATGTGCCTTCCATAAATGCATCCAGTAAATGGAAAAATAAACTGGGACAAAAGCTGTGCGTTCTTATAATCTACACGTTTTCCACACAAGATACATTTTTTTAAGAGGCTCCTTTTAAGGATTTTCCATTGGAACGGGCAGGTCCTCATTGCCGGCTACCTGTTTGTATTGTGAACGACATCCCCACAGCACCGCGTGAGTCCCAGGATCTGGGAAGCAGAGAGCAGCCTTTACGAAATGCGCTTTTTCCTCCCTAGATCAACGCAAATAGCAACCAGAGCCGCCATGGATCCTCCCGTACTTGGATTTTTATGCTTGGGTTGCACTTGGTTACGAAGAGAGATTGGCCGTTTACTGGACTTGCTCCATACCACATGGTGTCAAACTTGGGAAGGGCTGGAATCCCAGCAGCAGAGGGAGGACAAGCGATCCAGGGTCTGCCACACGAGCCCCGGGCATGGCCGCCCCCACAGCAGACAGTTCTGGGGACATGCTGCACGATCCCGGTCGCTGAGGGAGGTTAGTGGAGGGCAGGCAAGGGGTCCCGATGCTCCAGAGGCTCGGCCAGCTTGGGTCATGCTGACCTTGATCTCAGCTCCCTAGGAGATGTTCTCATCTACGTACATCCACAGCTTGCTAGAGGTGATCCTGAGGGTATGTTTTCCTTATTACACAAAAATCAACCTAAAATAAGTGAAGCTAAGTAAACGGGTATCCGCAGAAGCACTGCCTCTTTCCAGAAACCATCCCTTATTTCATAGATTTATATTTTGGTTTCTGGAATATAAAATTCTGTTGTTGGGAATGGGGGGCAGCTTTATAAAAACTCACTTTGAAATTAAGAGCTTCCAGGATATTCTTCAGGGAGGGAAGCCCAGCTCCAGCGGCCCCACGAGCCTGCTCTCAGGAGGGGTGGACAGAGCTCCAGATTCCCTGTGTGTCTGGCAGGCTCTGGGGTTCCCAGCCCATGATGGGCCCTGCAAGTGCCCTCTCTTTTCCATGACCCCCACCCTGCCCTGCATCCCAAACTCCCCTCGGAGGCCCCTTGGCCGTGGCCGCTCTTCCCGAGGGGGCAGGTGCGTGCCAAGCACACATGCTAGGTGATGAGGATTCTTCTAGAACCTTACCTCAATCTTAGCAAAAGAAACAGGAAACCTTGCATTTTATAAAGCCCTAAAAGCAAAATATTGTTTCTGACAATTCAAAACAGTAATTGCTGGAGAAGTTCTGGGTTTCATACGGTTTTATGAACAACCGGATGCCATTTTCCCACCTGAGCCTGAAGTGGCTTTGGGCAGGGAAGGGGCCAAGTCGCTTCAAGGAACAAGGAGCCCAGGTTACCCTCCGGATCGGAGTGTTTGGCTCAGGAGAAGGCTCCCTGCGCACAGGGCCTGGGGGAGCATTTCTGAGGTGCTGTGTTGGGAGCATCCAGGCACGCGGCCGCACGGCCACCTCTCCTATGGCGGGCTTCCCCACGCACGTCTAGGCAGGAGTACGAGAACCCACGACAGAAAATCCCTTAGAACCCAGTAGAATGTTCCACACAGGTAATGAATCACTGGCAGACTCAGATTGTCCAGCAAAAAATATTGCTTTATTGGGTCTATTTCCTAACTACAAGCACAGCGGACACAAATACCAAAACAGTTCCTTTCCATAGACAGCATACTGAGAAGAGTTTCATGCGAGTCCTGGGGTGCTAAGTGCAGGCTAAGGTCTGGGCGGCAGGCGGGGCCGTGGCCTGTGAGGAGCCATATGCCATCGCTCTTCACAGCTGTGTGCAAATGCTACAAATATGGCTTTCAGGTTTGTGTTCTTTCTGGGAGTCCAACAAAGATGACACATAATTGTACAGAAGAACATTTTAAAAATAATTCTGCGGGAGAGCTTTCTCCACCATATACCATTATGTTTAATTACTACAACTTACATCCTCCACCTGAGGGTGCAATTCAGGCATGTTCCAGGAGGGGGCATAAATTCCTAAGGCACAATTATCAGGTTAAACATGTTTTAATTAAACCATGCTTTTTGGTTATGTGAAACAACAGGTCACGGCGAGTAATAACGTGTAATAAGCTGTTAATTGTACAGATGCAGGGGGAGCAGCAGAGCTTAGCTAACCTACATGTTAACAGTAACTAATCGGGAACGAACCACAGGCGCTGCGTATTAAAACATTTTTGGTAACTGTTTCCTTAGACGAAGCAGAGTTGTAAGGCTTCTGTGAAGGAATAATCTTACAGCTGAACAAATATATTACACTCCTTTTGTGATGTTATTTACAGTTGCTTTCCCATCTGCTGTTCGGTAACATCTGGGCATCAAGAACACACCTCTCCTGGCTTTCTGGCGAGTTCGGCCAGCGGCGCCGCCCAAGACAACACAGACCCGGCGGACGGGAGATGCGCCCCCGTGGATGTAGCTGAAAAGCCAGATTCTGTCTTAGATGCGTTTTCCAGAACGGATACGGGTTATTGCTAACTCAGCAGCCCTTGCTGGGCCAAGACCGCCCATCACCAGCTCTGTCCTTTATCTGTGCATAAATATGTGCCTGTAACTGTACATCCAGCAAATGCAAGGTCCGTCCTGGGGCGGACAGACTTCTTTTTTTGTCCAGCAACATATCTTGTGCTATCATCATACTTGCACTATGTTCAAAGCCAGATTAAAAACAAAACCCTAGCGTGCTACAGTTAACGATCCTATGGTGTCGGTAACACAGGGGGAGGGAGCGGGTGACGCCAGAGAGGACAGGATTAAAGATCCCTAAAATGCGCTGAATAAGGCAACAGGCTGCACACTGCAGCCCAAGGGAAGCTGATAAAAAGCAGGAAGCGCGTGTTAGGTTTTTCTCACAATGCCTAGCTTGCCAGTATTCTAATTTATACAAAAGAGAAAGCCTCATGACGAAGCGTCTCTATAGCTTTTGCTCCTACAAATACCCTCCTGGTGGTAGACTCAGTGCTCCATCCCATGGCGCCCTGACGCTGGGGTCTGGTTAAGAAGGCACTTCCAGTCCTGAAGTCCGGGGGCGCCCCCGGGGGCCCCACAAGAGACGCACAGGCTTTCCTGCCCCCGTCGGTCCGTCCTCCCTGTCACAGAGCTACTTCTTTGAGCAGACGATGCAAATCTTCAGTAAGCTGGAGTTCTGACGGGCACCAGGGATGTGTTCGGTCTACTTAGAAGTCCTGTGTCGGAGCTTGACCGTCGGCGGCCGAGCCGACACCGAGCCAACACCGCGCGGCTTCCGAGTGAGTTCCGTGTGGCCAGCTATGATCGGATGTTGGCGCTGGAGAGATCGTTCCGTATTATTTCATTTACTGCAAGAAAACACAATAGAGAAACCATTAGGGAAACACCGCTCTGCCCAGAACTGTTGTAAGAACCAGAAATCCCATCAGCCACGCTTTCAGCCCGATACGCTGAGCCTGTGAAAAGGGTCTCCCGGAGGGGTGGGACTCCTTCCCGCTTCCCACCACGGGCCTGGGATGTCCTGAGCCAGCAGCATGCAGCCGCCCGGGCCCGGCTCCGCGACAGCAGGGGCATCACCGACAAACTGCCTCCTCGATCGTGGGCCCCGGGAAAGGGTGCCTGGTGCTGGTCCAGGCAGGCGATTCCACCGGCAAGACCCGCAGAGGCGCCCCGTGGTGGAAGCATGTCCCTGAGGTCCAGGCTCAGAGAAGCCCCTCTTTAGTCTCATCCTTGGACAGGCCACGTCTGAGAGGGGGGCCGACCACGGGGCAGCCGGGGCCTCCCTTTGTTTGGGGCTCTTCCTTCACTTCTGCTTCCTTGTCCGTGTCCACTATCAGCATGTGGCTTTTGGCAGCAGGAGAGGAAATGAGCGAAGCTGGCAAAAGCTGCACAACATCCCTCTCTCCACCCCCTGATCGGCCCCCAGATAGGGGACGCGTCCCCCACGGCCCAGTTTCCTAACAGAACTGGGAGGTGCGGGGACACGTGCTCACGTCACGGAACTGCCCGGGCCTCCCTTTGCTGCCCAGATAAACTCCCCATGTTTCTGCAAAGGCCCCGGCACATCCCAGAGCGGCTTCCTGCAGCAATTAGCTGGCACACCTGTCATCACCCCCACTCCCTCCCCTAAATGCCCTTTCAACACCCCCGCTATTGTTAAGAATAACAATAATAAAATGTGGTTGGGGGAACCAGGAATTGTGTCATGGTTGCTGATAACGGAGCCCACTGGCACCAGCTTTACAGCCAGGAGCCGACTACCGAGCCCCAGGCCTACCTGCCGCCTGGCCAGGGGGCCGCCGGTGGGGGGGTGGGGGGGTGGGGAGGGTGACTCACTGCATGGAACAGCAGACGCACACAGCAGGCCAGGGTGGGCGCCAGGCCAGCCTGCCTGCAGAGGACACATCTGCCTGGGACACGGGTGTGATGCACGACCCCCGGACACGCAGCCACACCTTCTCTGAGGATGGCACTGACCTTCGTGCAGAAAACACCGGGCGGGGCTGTGGCTCGCCTGGGCCAGCCCAGGGACCCCTCCCAGCTATAGCTGTTAATGAGGCGATAACGAGGCCCAGGTGCTCAGACCAGCTCTCAGGACGACACCCGTCCCTGGAGTGTCCCAGGGGCAGCTCATTAGCGGCAGGCAGTCTTTCCATGACACTCCGGCTGCCCAGCTTTGCCAGGCCCACTAGAGACCCCTGACGAGTGCCTGGCCACGGCCCCTGGGACGGCAGGGCAAGGCGGCTCCCCCCATCACTTGACCCGGAGACCACCGCAGCGCTCCCAAGGCCTCGTGCACGGCGCCCTGCTGGGCTCCCGGAGCACAGACGGGAAGGGGGCAGGCACGGGGCAGCAGACAGTCCCACTCTTCTTCCCACTTCACTCGTTCGGCCTCTTTTTTGAGAGGCACGGGTCCAATTTATACTTTGCAGAACTCTGTTCTATCAAAGAACATTTTGACAAAGAAAAATAACAAATCTGAGTGTCTCTAGGGTACTGCCTTGGTGAGGAAAGGCTTCCCGGCAGAGTGGGCTGGACATCCTTTCGATACAGAGCTGTGACAGCTGACGTGGCAGGGACAGTGACCACCCCACAGAGCATGTCGCTGTGGCTGGCGTGGCACGTGGCCCCTTAAAATTGCTTAATGGTGACCCTTCTCATTTCATCCTGAACCCGCACCAGGCCATGGGCCCAGCAGGTCTTCCTAACCCACGTTCAGATTAAGCAGAAGGTCTGGAGGGCACACGCAGGGGAAGGCGGACCCGTTGCCACAGGCAGTTTTGGGTCCAGGGCTGCAACACTCAGCCATGACACCAAGCGATGAGGCCTCCTACACAGGGGCAGCGTGGACAAGATGCCACTGAGCGATGGGGCCGGCCCTCTCAGTGACACACACCAACACCGGGTTTCCTTGCTCATTCCAATAGCAAGGACAGTTGGCCCCAGACCAGAAATCCGATCTAGCAAGAGCAGACACTGGGCGGTTGAAGAAGTTCTCACGGGTACTAACGTCAGGGAAGTGGGGGGTCTGAGGGGTAATAATGCCGGGGCATATGGGGGGAGGTGTGAGGGGTAATAATGATGGGGAATATGGGGGAAGTCTGAGGGGTAATAATGATGGGGAATATGAGGAAAGTTTGAGGAGTAATAATGATGGGGACATGGGGGAAGTCTGAGGGGTAATAATGACAGGGAATATGGGGGAAGTCTGAGGG